ATTAAATAAATCCAGAATACACCATCACAGTATGATACACTATTTTCATGTTGTATTAAATAAATCCAGAATACACCATCACAGTATGATACACTATTTTCAGGTTGTATTAAATAAATCCAGAATACACCATCACAGTATGATACACTATTTTCATAGTTGTATTAAATAAATCCAGAATACACCATCACAGTATGATACACTATTTTCATGTTGTATTAAATAAATCCAGAATACACCATCACAGTATGATACACTATTTTCATGTTGTATTAAATAAATCCAGAATACACCATCACAGTATGATACACTATTTTCATGTTGTATTAAATAAATCCAGAATTCATCATCACAGTATGATACACTATTTTCAGGTTGTATTAAATAAATCCAGAATACACCATCTCCATCTCCAGTGTGAGCATCTCCTCCTGATAATATACACCAAGTATCATTGATATATCATTCTCTTCCCCTGCGCCAGATACACGCTAATTGGACTCTCCCTCCTCGCCCTGAGTTATAACTTGTCGCATTGGTCTTCCTCTGAAATAATAATGTACTCACTCATGCCAGTTGAGCTCAACCATTCATTAATTTCTTCTTTATCACAGTGAGAATGATAGTTAGTGTAACCTTATTTGCACGCAATTTCACGCTCCACAGCCACGCGACATCTACCTCCTGGGATACATCACAGGTAAATCTGGGTACAAGATGATGATGTGATGATGAATGGATGGTGAAAACGTTAACTAAATGTTATATGAGCATTTTCCCCCACTGGGAAAACGTTTCTCACTACATACCAAAAGCCTTTAGGTTACCACTATTTTCATCATATAAGTCATTTCTTCTCTCTTAATGGTTTCTATATTGACCATTAACTCAGTAATTTAGTGTTATTATACCATTAGAGAGCTTCCTATAATTCCCAGCTATGGAGCTATTTTTCTAATCCCTATCAGTGAGAGAGAATTGGTTTGTCCGAGGCTAGAGGCTAGATGCTTGGGACTAGCCAAGCCTAGGCTAACCAAGCCCTGGGACTAGCCAAGCCGGGGGCTAGCCAAGCCTTGCATGAGTATTCAGGGCCGTCTCAGGTCCTCCATGAAGACGCTCACAGCCCTAATACCTTCTCGAAGGTTGTGGAATACTATGCCCGAAGTCCATAGACTTTATCATTAATTTACTTCCAAATTCAGATTTTGATCTGAAAACACGCACGTTCAGATGACAGATTTGATTTCTGGGTGCAACTGTTGGGTTACAGTGCTGTAGAGAGTGTGTATTAAATGTGGGTGAAGTAATGGAGACACCTGAAGGCTGAAGATGGAGAAGGGCGGGTGTGTGTGTGTGTGTGTGTGTAATTACCTAAGTGTAATTACCTAAGTGTAGTTAAAGGATGAGAGCTACGCTCGTGATGTCCCGTCTTCCCAGCATTCTTTGTCATATAACGCTTTGAAACTACTATCGGTCTTGGCCTCCACCACCTTCTCCCCTAACTTGTTCCAACCGTCTACCACTCTATTTGCGAAAGTGATTTTTCTTATATTTCTTCGGCATCTGTGTTTAGCTAGTTTATATCTATGACCTCTTGTTCTTAAAGTTCCAGGTCTCAGGAAATCTTCCCTATCGATTTTATCAATTCCTGTTACTTTTTGTATGTAGTGATCATATCACCTCTTTTTCCTCTGTCTTCTAGTTTTGGCATATTTAATGCCTCTAACCTCTCCTCGTAGCTCTTGCCCTTCAGTTCTGGGAGCCACATTATAGCATGTCTTTGCACCTTTTCCAGTTTGTTGATGTGCTTCTTAAGATATGGGCACCACACAACCGCTGCATATTCTAGCTTTGGCCTAACAAAAGTCGTGAACAATTTCTTTAGTATATCGCCATCCATGTATTTAAAAGCAATTCTGAAGTTAGAAAGCGTGGCATAGGCTCCTCGCACAATATTTTTTATGTGGTCCTCAGGTGATCGTTTTCTATCTAGAACCACCCCTAGATCTCTTTCTTTATCAGAATTCTTTAAAGATTTCTCACATAATATATAGGTTGTGTGGGGTCTATGTTCTATTCCACATTCCATAATATGGCATTTATTAACATTAAATTTCATTTGCCAAGTGGCGCTCCATGTACTTATTTTGTCCAGGTCTTCTTGAGGGGCATGACAATCATTTAAGTTTCTTATCCTTCCTATTATCTTAGCATCATCAGCAAACATGTTCATATAATTCTGTATACCAACTGGTAGATCATTTATGTAGACAATAAACATCACTGGTGCAAGAACTGAACCCTGTGGTACTCCACTTGTGATATTTCTCCAGTCCGATACATAGCCTCTGATCACTGCCCTCATTTTTCTATCAGTCAGAAAATTTTTCATCCATGTTAGAAGCATTCCTGTCACCCCTCTAATATTTTCCAGTTTCCAGAACAACCTCTTATGTGGAACTCTGTCGAAAGCCTTTTTTAGGTCCAGATAGATGCAGTCAACCCAACCATCTCTTTCCTATAATATCTCTGTTGCTCGATCATAGAAACTGAGTAAATTCGATACACAGGATCTTCCAGATCGAAAAAAATACTGTCTGTCTGATATTATATAATTTCTCTCCAGGTGTTCTACCCATTTAGATTTAATTATTTTTTCCAATATTTTGACTATTACACTTGTCAATGATACCGGTCTATAATTAAGGGGGTCTTCCCTGCTTCCACTTTTGTAGATTGGAACTATGTTAGCCTTTTTCCACACATCAGCTACAACTCCTGTGAACGGGGATGCCTCAAAAATCAGTTGAAGAGGAATGCTGAGCTCAGGTGCACATTCTCTCAGAACCCATGGTGAAACTCCATCTGGACCAACTGCTTTGTTCTTATTTAGCTCCTTGAGCCTTTTTTCCACTTCGTCTCTAGACACCTCTATGTGCTTTATGTTGTTCTCTGGAATTCTTATTGTATCTGGTTCATTTTGTACAAACACACTTTGGAACTTTTCGTTTAATGTTTCACACATTTCCTTTTCATTTTCCGTGAATCTATTTCCCATTTTCAACCTCTGAATATTATCCTTTACCTGCAATTTGTTGTTTATGAATTTATAGAATAGACCTGGTTCTTTTTTACATTTGTCTGCAATCCCTTTTTCAAAATTTCTTTCTGCCTCTCTCCTCACTGTCGTGTAGTTGTTTCTCGCATCTTTGTATCGCTGGTATGTTTGGGGGTTCGGCCTCTTTCTGTATTGATTCCATTTTTGTGTCTTTTGGTCTCTGGCCCTCTCGCACTTTCTGTTGAACCAATCCTGTTTCCTAGTTCTGCTTCTCTGTTTTGGTATAAATTTTTTTGTGCCTTTATCATATATTTCACAAAACCTGACATACATCTCATTCACTTCCTTGCCTAGCAACAAGTCTGTCCAATTATACTCACTAAAAAATTTTCTAAGGTTGCCATAGGTGTGTGTGTGTGTGTGTGTGTGTGTGTGTGTGTGTGTGTGTGTGTGTGTGTGTGTGTGTGTGTGTGTGTGTGTGTGTGTGTGTGTGTGTGTGTGTGTGTGTGTGTGTGTGTGTGTGTGGTTGAGACCCGGGCAGCGCCGAGTACAACATAGTGTTTAGCTAGTTAAGGAATCCCCATCAACACTCTGGCATCAAGCATTACTTAAAGCAATAAATCACTTAGTCTCATAAATTACCTTTCTAGAATTTATTTAGTAGAATATCACAATTCTTCCCATAGACCAGCTCATGCTAAAAATAAAATACTCAATATCTTGTCCAGTAAATTGAATTATCTAATACTCCTCTACTCCTAAAGTCACTAGTGAAATGTAATATTTACTAATATCAAGTTTAAT